TGAAAATGGTCATTTGAGAATAATAAGGAGAAAAAGATTTTTTGGGGGGGAGGTCACATGAACCACTTGAAAATCTGATGCAAAATCTATATGCTCTCACTGGAAGATGCAGACACCCAATTCTGCACACAGTTCTGGGAGGTCAAGGGCACTCCTGAGGACAATGCTTGTCACCCAAAGATTCCACTAGCCTAGTAAGTCATATTTCCTTTTTCTTTTCCTTTCTAGTTATTGCCTATACAGAGACAAATGTTTTACACATTTTTACATAATTGTAATCATAGGGTGGTTCTGGTTTATATTGATTTTTTTTTTCACTTAGCACAATGTCATAAACATGTTCCCATGTTATTCCCAATCATTATAATTTTCATTTAAAATGGCCTTGTCATAGTCTACTTAAAGGAGGTACCTTGATTTACATAGCCATTATCTTACTGTTGGACATATAAGTTGCTTACAACTTGTTTCTGTAAAAATCTGCTTTACAATGAACATTTTCCTGCATCTGGAAAAGCAATAACTTTCAAAGGAAACATTTAATTCTTTTCCCATTTTCTTTCCAAATACCTTCTGGTGTCTGTCTCTTCTGAGCTGTCTATAATTTTGTATTTTGTGCATGAAATTCTAGTATCTAGTTTTATTTTTAGCTGCTGTGCCATGTGCCCAACATATTGAACTCAATCTCTCTCCCTGTAGCCTCTGTTTCACCTGCGCCCACCTCCTCCACGACTGTGAGGAGACAGTTGCCCTCCAGTTCTTATGACTCGAGGATTCACAGGAGGAATAAGGATTGTCCTCAAGGGCGCCCTTGACCTCCCAAAATAGTGTGCAAAACTGAGTGTGTGCATTTTCCAGTGAGACGATATAGATCTTGTATCAGATTCCTAAGTGGCCCAGGTGACCAAAAAAGAATAGGAATTGTTGACTAGGGCTGTTTTTTACCATCATGTGTCTCCTTCTCTCCACTGGGCCTTGTCCTCTGCTACGGTCAGATTCTAGCCTAACACCTCCCCTCTTTTAATCCTCAACGTGCCATCCTCCTTTCTCACTCTTGCCTTCCCTTCACTGTCAACTGTGTTGAATGAATTGGTGTATCCTGCTGTGTTTGCTCCCTTCCCTTCTGATTACACCTTACCTCCTAGGTCCCCCCTATCTCATTCTGCTGAAATTGGTCTTTCAAAGATGATGTGTTCCTACTCATCACACAAGCCCGTCATTAGTTTTTATTCTTCACAGATGTCATTTTAGGTTATGGGATTAGCATCTTTGATTTTGGAACCCCTTTCTCCTGATCATTTGAGGGCCTTTTCCGCTGGCATCTCTTTTCTCACTGCTGCCCTTCTTTCCCTTGCTACCAAATGCAGGTCTTCTATAATTTTCGGTCATGAGCCCCATTGCTTTCTGTAGTCTTCTTTCTGGCCATCTCATCCAGACCCATATCTGTGCAGCTTCCACCTCTCTCCTGAAACCTAGGTCATTTTATAAAGTGCTATGTCCATATATTGAGTTCAATATTTTTGGCACATGGCACAGCAGCTAAACATAAAAGGTACTTCCAACCTGTCCACAGACAGATTCATCATCCTGCCCAGCAGCTCCTCTGGAGTTCCCTGTTTCCACGAGTAGGACCGCCATGCTTGGTCAGTCAGACACAGAAGACTGGACTCATCATACTCTGTTGCTTTTCTCTCAGTATTGCTGGCCCTCTAATTTAGCCTCTCATTACCGGTCCCCAGGACTGTCGCAGTGGGCTGAAGCTCTTCTTGCTCCATCTTTCAAAGCCCCTTCTCCACTATTGGTGCCTTTCACCAAGCACTCCCAGATTTATTTCCCTGAAGCATGTGACTGATTGCTTGACTGTCCATCTCAAGAGTCTCTTGAATATTTCTGTATCCAGCAAATTACCTCAAAGCCCTTCAGGTTCTTACTCCAAACCACTTCCCCAACACGCCCTTAAATATAGCCTGCTCATTCATAGTAAGATTGCAGTATTATTAGAATATTGATGCATAAACATTTAAGTTTATAGGGGCGCTTTTAAAAGCAAAAACCTAGTATCATATGTATTCATCTGCTTTCTTCTTTTCCCTAAGCCTTTTCTTTTCTTGATGATTTTGGGTTCAATCCATTATTATTCAACAAAAGTATTTTGAGCACCTAATATACCTCAGCCGGGCACCCCCCAAAAAGGTGAGGGTTGAACCAGAAACACCAGGCATCTGCGGAAGGTGCACAGGCTTCCCCCTTGCCCCTGTTTGTAATGTGCGTTGGTGAGAGTCTTGATGGGAAACAAATGGCCCACTCAAAAGGGAGAGTTTAATGAAAAGACAATTCAAAGGGGTTAAGGGAGACTGACTAGAAAGAGTAGGGAGAAGCTGTTACTACAACTTAGTAAGGGAACTACCTGCAAGACAGGGCACCAGACAGAAACTGTGACTTTCTGTAGCGGACAAGGTCACTGCCAAGCCACAGCCTGGCAGACAGAGAGCTGGGTGCCCCAACTTCTCTCCCCAGCCATTCTTTGATCTCTGGTTGGTTCTTCCCATTGGTCAGAGCCAACCAAAACCCACGAGCAGGAGAGCCTGGCTAGTGCATCCGAAGAGGAGGACCTCCTGAGGCACAGGGGAAAGGTGGAGAAGGGGCAAAGGTGGAGGAGACATCCAGAACTTTATTTCACTGCCGGCTCCTGAAGCTCTCCAGGGAGAAAGTTCATCTTCTGGGCTTTATAATTAATGTGCCAATGAGAATTTCTGACTGCAACAAAACATCTCTCCTCCCGCACCCCCCGCTTCTCTGCTCTGCCTTCTTCTTATTTCTCATCCCTCGCCACTTTCTTTTTATGTTGCCAAATGGTTTCAACAAAATTACTGGACAGATAATAAATGCTTATAGACCAAATTAATAAGACATGCTAATTTTTATTAATAGTTTGCATTACAGATAATAAGTGTATTTTATATCAGCTTGTACTGCTTGAGCAATAAGAAATTAATGAGAAAGCTGACTTAATTTTGGAAGAAAGTGACATTGAAGTGACTAGTATGCGCTCTTTAGTAGAAAGCTCAAACCAGAATGCCTAGCAACCTTCTTCGGAGGCCCCAGCGTGAACCCCTACAGGGGGAAGGGTTTTGTGGCGGACAATGATGATGGCCTGTCCCCTTCTCAGCATTTATCTGTACATTCTCCTCTTTTCATTCCTTGCTCCAGACTTACTCTAGACCCAATAGGTCCATCAGTTGACATGGGAGGGTCTGAGAAGCTGGGATGGGGTAGGGGATGGTGGTGGTGAGGATGAGACCCATTAAGGCGGTACTTCCCAGTTGGGGAGGGTCAGCAAAAATAAGAGGGGAGATCAAAGCTGAGGGGGCAATCCTTCTATGTCAGGAAGGCTATACTGACCTCTATAAGTTAGGATATTTCCTGGGAACTCTGGGGGGTTAAATTTCTGGGTTTTATGGGGGCCAATTCTTTGCAGCACAATTCCAAGGGTAAAGCAAGGTCCCGAAGGTTGAACCAAGTGTTGTTCAAGAGCATGGGATCTATAGAATCTAAAACAAACCCGAGTCAATAGAGCTTTCCCTTGAAAACCTATAAATAGTTTCCTGAAATCTCTCCTTTGCCTATGATCTTGGGACACTATTTCCAGTGGCTCTCCTTTATGACATTGCTGGCTTTTCTACTGCATTTGTATACACTCAGAGTGACAACGAACCCACAGGACAGCTAGGGCTAGATGTGTGTGTCACAACCAACATGTTTGCTATCTTCTGTAGGTGCCAGTGTGCATGTAGGAGGGCTGGGCGAGTGTGTCTTTAAAGAAACTTACACCCGAAAGAAATGACCAAATTCTATAATTAACTGCTGTAACTATTCAGTGGTAAATGAACAATACCCCAAGTTTAGGCAGGACATAGTAGACCCATCTGAGTTTACAGTGGAGGACAAGTCTCAAGCTAGGAAGAGGCTGACCTATCAAAAGATCCCTTTATCATCATCCCTTGGAACTTTCTTTTTTAGTGCTTTGAGGACCACTATCCCTGGTCACTGGAATACACTGGTCCTATCTACTCTCTTGGGCTCAAACCTGGACAAAAAAGTAAAACCAATTTTTCCTGCCTTCCTCACATGAGAGAGCCCGTTTAGGGAGCTAAACAGGGCTGTGCCTCATGAGCTCACTTCTGTAATATGAGGAACAAACCCGGCACAGATTGTACTTCTCTTGTTTACATCCATGTTGTTTTCCTATAGGTTTCAGCAGAGCTATCTCTTGCCACCTGGGGAATCTCTTTCTGGAGGGCACATCTGCCCAAACCTAGGAACAAGTTTTTCCAGAGCAGATGGACTCACAAGTTTGGCCTACCTGGGAACTCTAAAAACACCCAGCCCACCCACCAAAATGCATATTATGGAGTGTGTAAATCCCATGGGCTTATAGAGTTCATGTAAGAGATGATCCTCAATCCACCCACTGAATCTATACACTCACTGTATCTGTCAACTTTAAGGCCTGGTTCTCCAATCTTTTGGAATTCACCCTTTTATTGCCAGATGAACCATTTGGATGGCTTATTCCTGGCACTAACCATTGGACTGACATTGGTGTTTGTTTTCTGGCCACATGAAGACAACAAAGATGCCCACCCTGGTTCACTGGGACTCACTAGCCCAGTTTTCTTCCTTCCCATCCTTCTCACTAGGAGATGGGGTCTGGCACTGTGCCTACTACCTAATGCCTCGTGTAGTTACTGAAAGAATGGGAAGCATTAGGGTGGTTCCCCATACCACCTGTGGTGGAGCAACAGGAATTTCCTGACACGATGCTGAAAACCATAGTCATTGGAAAAAACAGAAGTATGAACTTATTTTTAAAACACAGGGCCACACCATATTTCAGCAATGAGACTTGAACAAAGCTGACCTAATGCTTTAATAGACTTCTTTCTCCTCGTGCCCCAAACCCAGCTCCCTGAATAAGAATGAGCAAGGAAACAACTTACTGTAAACTGGATTTGGCAGCCACCCATGATGTAATCCAAGAAAGAATGCATCTTGTGGATCTGCATAGGAGGAGGAAAAGAAACCCTCTTAGTAATAACAGCATGATCTGTGTCCTTACAGACCTGAGGCATACACCTTGGGGTAGGCTGCTCAACTAGAGGAAAAAGCAGAGAGAGTTATCTGTGGGAAAAGGTGAGTCATTTGACTTGATTTCATTAAGAAAGAGAGAGAGAAAAGAAAAGAGAGGGAGAGAAAGCAATGCTAAATTCAGATAAGCCTGTGAGGGCTGAAAATAGCCATCCCTTGCTCCCCTCCCTTATGGTTTAGGCGTGATTTTAATCAGCCTCTGCCTCTAGGAATTAGCTAACTCTAGGAGGGGCAATCCTTCCCAGGGTCTACAAGGCCCCCAGATGTCAAAGCATCATAAAATAAAAAAAATAAAATACATGACAAAACAATGACTTGTGAATGACCTCATTTGAAAGTGGAAATCTCAGTATTGTGATAAGAGTAAATAGGATTTATTATAGTTACTGTTGTATAGTAAGTACTCAACCAGTGGCAGAATTATTCTTAGATGCAATTTAAGGGGTTTACTTGTTAGCACATAGAATTTTCTGTGAAGTTAGAAACGCTCTGAGAGGAACTTCTAGGTCCTTCAATCTTTCCCCATTGTCTTGTTTTCCTGGAACTCTTTCAGCATGAATGAGGTACCACACAGAGTAGTAAACCACTGAACACTGTGATAGACACATGGTAGGTACTTTGGAAAGGTCGGTTGCCTCCTTTGGGGAGCTCCCTCTGGTGCTGCCCTGGGCAGAGAAGAGCCTTGACTTGGACCAAGACTCTCCTAACTTTGGGGACAGGGCTATCCTTGTGGAGGGAATGGTGGCATTGGGCTTCCATGGCTCCAAGACCACCTATGCATACATTTCTCATTGTATGTCCATTAATACTTGATTTTCTGATTTTTACTTTAAAAAAGATCACATCTCCTTGACACTCTCTCCCTCTGACTACACAACCTGAACTGTTTTTTTCCAGACACCTTAGCTTTATACTCCTGAAAGACAAGCCATATACATACCTTGCATTGATTCAAAATCACAATGCCCGAGTTCTTATAATTCTTCTTCTTGGCTTTGTACTTGGGGTTGATGCACTCCCACTGCACCTGCAACAAGAAGAGTCACAGCATGACTGCCTGCTCAGGTAGAAGTGGAATCATTTGATGAGGTCAAGCCCCAAGTGCTGCTGCAGATGAAACGGAGGCCTGACAAGTGGTCTCCATGTGAAAACCCTCGCATCTAGAGGAAACATAAGAAGAGTGGTTGAGAGTAAGACTCTAATATCAGACTGCCTGATCTGCGTCCCAACTCCTCCACTTTCCAGCTGTGTGACCTTTGGCAAATTACAGCTGACCCTTAAACAATGTGAAGGCTGTTAGAAAATCGGTGTATAACCTGGGACTCCCCCAAAACTTAACTACCCTTGGAACCCACAGGGGATTGGCTGCAGGACTCCCGCAATAACAAAATCCGTGGATGCTCAGGTTCCCTCTATAACATGGTGTAAATCAATGCATACAGCCATGGACTCCCAACCAGGGACTGAAAACAGTACAGAAAAAGATTCACATATAAGTGGACTCGTGCAATTCAAACCCTTGTTGCTCAAGGGTCAACTATACTTGATTCCTCTATGCCTTGGATAGCTCCACTGTAAAATGTAGCTTATAATTGTATCGATTTGATAGGCTCATTGTGCGAATTGAATAATTAATCTATGTAATACAGTATTTCGGACAGGGCCTGATACTTATAAATGCTTACTATTAATAGGGTCCAATCAAGCATCTGAGTAAAGAAGAGATCCGAACACACACAGTTGAGTAACCCAAGTGCTGAGTCTTAGTGCCTGGGAAATGACTTAAAGGGTAGAAAAACTGAGGAATGTTGAAAACCGGCTAGAGGAAGTTAGTGGGGATAATAATGAGTTTACAGAGAACTTCACTGATAGCTAAAATAATAGATTGATACATGTCACAACAGTGGCACACTAGATCTCCAAAGAGAGATCTTTGAAGGACAGGATCAGAGCTGCAGGAATGTCTGGGGACTGAGGAGGTAGCTATGGGGATATCTAGGGGGAACAGATCTCATGGGACAAAGTCAATTGCAAGTCAAACACCCAAGGGTCATTGAATGATCCTGCCCATCATTGTATGGGAGCTGGATCCTTGGATTTCCACGCAGGAGACAATTTTCACTCTCTGACAAGTGTCTGAAAATGAAGCGATCTCTGAGGCAGTTGTGAGTAGGGTAGAGTGATACAGCTTTGGTTCATCAATCCACTCCTTTCAGTGTACATGCATTTGTGTAGTTTCTTCCCACAATGATGCTGAGCTTAGTCAGGTGACTTGTTTGACCAATGGGACATTAGCAAAAGTGATAGGAGCAGAGGATTAAAAAGTGCCTGTACAATGGGGCTTGGTGTTGAGAAGTTTTCCACACCACATAAAAAGCTTAGGTTGGTCTCTTGGTCAATTAAAACGTGGAAAAATTCCAGCTGCTGGGGCCAAATGCGTAAGTGAATTCAGTTGGCATCATGTGTAGCAGAGAGGAGCTATTCCAATTGAACTCAGCCTAAATTGCCAATCCAGAGACTCATTAGTAAATAATGATTGTGTGTTTTTTTTCAGCCAGTTTGGGTATAATTTGTTGCTCAGATACAGATAACTGATATGGTAATATCTCACCTTTGGGGAAGTTCCAGTTGAGAATGGGCAACCACATAAGTGTTTGGAAGAGAGAAATGTTGTACTGGTTAAGAGGACTCTAAAACTCCTTCTTTTAAGGAAAAGAAGAATAATGCAAGGAAAGGAGTAAAGAATCAAAACTGATTCAAATCAGGAGATCTCCAGCCCTATTTTTTATTTTTTAAAATATATTTTTATTGATTTCAGAGAGAACTGGCAATCAGCCACCTCTTGTATGCCCCTCACCGGGGATCGAGCCCACAACCCGGGCATGTGCGCAGACCAAGAAATGAACCATGACTTCCTGGTTTATGGGTTGATGCTCAACCTCTGGGCCACATTGGCCTGGTAAAGATAACATTGAAAAGAAAATCCCAAACTCCTTTTTTTCTGGGCTATAATAATCTACTTTTCCTGGCCTCTGCCTGTCTCTTTAACCACATCTCGTGCATGGATCCCTCACCCTCTCTGCTCCAGGCGCACTGGGCTCTTTCCAGATCCTTAACCACACCACGCTCTTTCCTAACTGAATACTTGCATGCTGTTCCCTCTGCCTGAGATGTTTCTCCTTTTCTCCTTACTTGTTACATGGTTGACTTCTTTTCACCTTTAAAGGCCCTCAACTTAAATGTCACCTTTTCAGATTATCTCCTTCTATGCCCCACCTTTATAAGTAAACTGGTTCAGGTTTTTTATATCATTTGTCATAAGTTATAACAGCATATTTATTGTTTTATTTACTTGATTTGTGTTTCCAGTTTATTCTGACGCACAGTCATGTCACAGCCAGAGCCCGGCATAGTGCCTGGCACATAGTGGGTGCTCCTCAATAACTCTTAGTAGAATCAAATAAGGAAACAGTTCCCACAGTGCAAATGTGTCAAAACAGGGGCCGAGTGGCTGAACTGAAATCTTCCTGGTGTCTCAGTGATAGAAAAATACAGCAGCATATGGTCCATTTCCTCAGTGAGACAAACATTTATTTCTGTTTCTTTGAATGCATTGGACTTTGGTGTTCTTCAGTTGTGACATATGCTAGAATTTTACTTTTTAAAAATATATATATATATTTTATTGATGTTTTACAGAGAGGAAGGGAGAGAGATAGAGAGTTAGAAACATCAATGAGAGAGAAACATCAATCAGCTGCCTCCTGCACACCTTCTGCTGGGGATGTGCCAGCAACCAAGGTACATGCCCTTGACCAGAATCGGACCCATGACCCTCTATCCACTGAACCAAACCAGCTAGGCCAAGTTCTCATATTTATTAATTTGGATATTTTTATTTGTAGAGAACAAGGCAAGACTTTGTAAAGGTCTTTAGAGAACTAGCTGGCAATATCAATAACTGTCATTGAATTATTAGCTCAATAGGGCTTGGTCCAGTACATTCAATGAAGCAACTTCTCTGGATATATTTCTTTTTATCCTGGGGGTGACTTTACTAATAATTTAGTGTTGGTTTTCACTGTGGCCCCGAAACTCTCCATGCCTGCTTGTATATGAAGGTCTGTGTGTTTGACAAGTGTCTTGCAATGCCTAGTACATGATAAAGCATATAAAGCAGGTTTTATTGCAACTACACAGAAGCTGCCCTTGAATTTCCAGACCAAATGTATGTATTCAACAAATGGTCTGTTCAGGTTAAGCTTCTAAGTCTAAAGAATGTTAGTGTCTTTCCATCTAGTCTGGTTACACCTTGACCTTACGTCTAAAAGAAGAGACTTGAGCCCTAGCCAGTTTGGCTCAGTGGATAGAGCATCTGCCTGTGGACTGAAGGGTCCCAGGTTCAATTCTGGTCAAGGGCACATATGGGCTTGATCCCTGGTAGGGGATGTGCAGGAGGCAGCCAATCAATGATTCTTGCTCATCATTGATGTTTCTATCTCTCTCTCCCTTCCTCTCTGAAACCAATAAAATATATTTTAAAAACAATAAAAGAAGAGACTTGAATAAGACTTGGGGCATCTTCTCTATACTTCTGACCACACCAGGGGCGAGGTCTTACCTCTAAGGGAAAAGACCTTTTCAAAGCCATTGCTGTCACTCCTTTCTACTCCTTGGGGACAATGGGCTTCAGAGTAAGAATGGCAGGTATTTTGAATCAAAACCCAAAGCCAGGTGTAAGTGCAAGTAGCTCATCTGGGAGGTAATATCAGAAAGCATCAACAGAGTGGGAAACTGAGAGAGGGGAAGCACTCAAAAAAGGGTTCAATATCAAGTCAGTTACCACTGGGGCAACC